GACCTTTGTGACTGTTTTCAGGAGTCCTGGAAGTAAGAGCGTTGTGGTTTCTATAGTATTCTTAGCTTGGGTCTGGAGCATAGATTCTTTCAGCCCCTGACATTTTAGTTCAGGCTCTGTAACAACCATCCTCCAGAGAGTTGCATTTACTTTTAAATAGCCCTGAATTTTAATAAACCTGTAGATGGGAGGGGCCATAAAGCTCTTGTCCTTTGTTAAACTCTTAACTCTTGTGTTTGAGATTTCAACTAGGGTAAGGTAGTGTTTGTCAGCAGTGAACTGTCTCTTTCAATCGTGCATCATATAAGTCCCAGTAGGAAAGCTTCTATGACTTGCTGGCACTGCAGTAATGGTCCTCACAGCCTCATACACCAGACAGGGGCACATGTGATGTGGAAGAATTTTGTAATTATGTAAGATAACATTTTCAAATGCATCTAACTAGGAACTCTACTGTTCTTTCCCGTAGGCTGCAGATGTTAGGTTCCTGAGGTCTGAACTGTGCTGAAGTCACTTTTAAAAGTGGAAACTTAGGTACCTATCTTAACGGAAAGCACTGATCCTTAATATGTATTTTAGGTTTCTGAGTCCACCTGACTTGCAAGGAATTTAGGCAGTCAAACACCTCATATCTCGGTGCTTCAGACCTAGCAACAAGAGTCTTGCCATCCCTAAGAAAGCTTTCAAATCCAGAATGAAGTGGCTCACTCTTCAACATTGTCTTTATGTCCAAAATAGACATTTTTTTTCCTCCGAAATTCAAACCTATTAAGACAGAAATTTTTCAGGATGTTTTTAAGAGAGCCGGAAAACTCCGCATTTGTGGGGAGAAGAAGGCAGGGGCAGGGGCAGGTGGTGCTGAAGAGGAAGTTATTTCAGAGCCAATACTCTCTGGAATCTTTGGAGACTGAAGAAGAAGCAATTAAAAGCAAATCCATTCGGTTATGGTGTTCCTGACATAATGCGAAAAAAAATGAGTATGAGGCATTAAATTTACCCACAGCCACATTGATTCAGTATCTAAAATGTCTTTTCATCTTTTAAAATGCAGAGCCAATTGTGGCATCCCACTACTGAAATGAGAGATGTAATTCTTCTAGTTATATTAACTGTATTTATCCATTTTTAATTATGTATAACTTTAATTTATTTTAAAACAGATGAATATTTTTCAAATACAATATTATTTGACAGGGACAGTTATTTTTTTTCCTTCCAATTCATTTCAGATTATATTTATATCATTTGCTTACTGACCTCTCAAAGTCAGCTTTTATAGCAGCTTTCAAGAAGGCAAATAATCTCATGGTTCAGAGCAATGATGAAGCTTCAGAACAAAGGTTTAAAGCCAAAGATAGCTGGAAAAATGCTGATAGCATAAAAATAAGTATATATCCCTCCAACAAAAATACCGTGTATTTGGGTTAGAATGGAACAGCCATTCTTTAACACTTAGTATGGAAAGCATCTCTGAACCTATTTGCTTTTCTGAGTTCATGCCCACTCCATGCCCTGCAGTCTGATTTCACACTGTCATGCCTATGAGTGATAGTGTCCTGAGTGAAATGTTCTGTTTCTTTCTACTTTAGGCTTCTTCTTCGTCCTGGAGTATTCCTGTAAAATGAAATATGATGGCACCTTTTTTTTTTTTTCCAGTATTGATGCATTGACAGGAAGGTGTAAAGTGTTTGCTAGCTGCTTTTTCAGCTGCTGTGGTCAAATCCATGACTGGCAGCCTCCCTTGCCCAGGTTGCTCTGCCAGTATTTTCTTTTTTATATACATAAGTATATACATATATACATGTAAGTATATACATGTACATATAGACATGTACATAAATGTATGTGTTTTATATATACATACATGTATAAGTATATACAGATATATACATAATATAAAACTGTTGTGCTAACATCCCACATATATTGATTTGTCACCGGCCATGAGAGGGTTAAATAGCAAGGCATAGAAAATCCAGTATACATTCTAACATTTAGGCTTTATCCTTTATTAGGTAGTGAGTAAGAGACATAAAAAGAATCGAGTTTGTTGTTTACAGCTGAAAGTTAAAAGAGACTTGTGTGAACAAAAACTTGTTCCATAGAGCACTGTGACAAAAGAGGTCCAAGACAACTGAAAGTGTCATTGCAAATGAGCTGATGTAAGTAGTTGGAAGGACACTCCTATTTCTAGCAACATTTGTGTTAACTCTGCCTTAGTACTGTGCCTCCATACATGCCACAGGCCATAATATTTTGACAAGGATCAGCCCGTTGCTTTTAACGGCATCTCGACAACACAACGGGATGTACAGCAGGTACACACGTATCAGAACGCTGTGCTTAAGAGCCTATAGTCTCTTCCTTTCCAGTCTGCACATCTTCTCATGAGAAGAAGTCCCTCCCCAGCCCATCTGCCTTCCCAGAACACCAGTTCTCCTTGGCTCGTTCAGCAAATCGCTAATTCCATAGGCTATTACGAAAGGCTCTGGAGACATGTGGCAGTTCATGGAGCACAGCTACAAACCACTGCCCTGTTCAAGGAGGAATTTGCGCACAGCTGGCAATGGCATTACGACTGCTGCAAAAAGAAGGAAGGTTGAAAATAGGCTTAAAAACACCCAAGGCCAAGATTTTGCAAAGAGAAGTTTAATGTTACTAGGATATATACCCAAATAAGTGGAAACATTTTTCTAAACGAATGGTAGGCCCACACTTTGAAGGCTGGCCTGTTTTACTGCCTCTTTACTGGGAGCTGCAGAGTATGGAGCCCTTTTAAATGTCAGCCCCTAGTTATTTAGGTGCCTAAACTTGGCTTCAGGAACTTACCCATACTCTTCTCTTTTTGGAAATTGGGCCAAAGCAAACCAGCTAATAACCAGCCCTGAAATCACCATCACACTTGCTTTATGTGTGCACTGGAGTGAATTAAATACAACCAAAAGCCCAATTGATTTCAAGGCACAAACGTTGCAAATAAACTGGATGACATACACATACATAATATAGAACTTATTTTAATACTTGTAGATAAATAAATGCATCTCTTTGGAATTCTTTGGACACAGACATCCATGGAACCTCTTCTTTCTCTCTTTTTATATATATATTTTTTATAAAATCTATATGCAGAGAGGTTTAAAAAATGGCAAATACCAATGTATATGGAAGGCTCACTGAAGAACTGCAAGTCAAAGTGCTTTATATTCCCATTCTCTAGATCTCACAACGGACCATATTAACCACAGGCAGTATCAGATAGCAACCACGTGGTCAATATTTTGCATTACTACATTTTAATAAAATCTTTTAAATTATCTTCTCATCTAAACTTAAATTATGTTTTTAATTTTTATTCCTCCTAAATGTATGGTAGGCATTTCACTTAGCTACACATCAGAGTGGTTGCATGTGACTCAGCAGCACACTCCAAAATATTAGTAAATACTTTTCAGCTCCCTATGGGAAAAAGCAGGCAGCAAGAATCAGATTCAAGACATGTCTATTTTTTTCTCTGTTGTTTGTTACTTACCACTTAATGACCCACATGTGAAAGTCAATGGTTATATAATTATTTTATATAGTAGATCTTCTGTTTATAAGTTATTTTTCTTACTCTAACATATATACAATATATCTATATATACCCCTGATAAATCTTACTTTAAAGGGACACTGTCAACCCCTTTAAGCCTCACAGTAAATGCATAAGGCTTTAAGCTGTCCATACATAAAGGTCAGCTACAGAATTCAAGGGTCCCTTCAAATCCTAAAGATTGTATTTGCTCCAAACCCACAATGTGCAGTTATTTCATAATATGTATCTCATGTGTTGCTGTTTACATTTTATATGTATATTAAAACATTTTATAT